CTTTTTCTGGAAGTGATGTTTAAACATGTCCTCATTTCAATGAAAAAGTTAAAACCAATATGTAGACTGGAACAGATTCAAGGAGTATTCCAGGAGTTTTTTGGTCAAGATTTTCCACATTTTCAAGGGCTTTTCAAGTGCACTTGAAAATGAGTTTTTAATTCCAGGACTTTTCGAGGATATCAAGGAGTAGCACAAGCCCTGCAGATAATAATTGTAATATATGGTGGATTTCCAATTGATACCTTTTATGTATTGACAGAAATCCCCCTCTAACAGCCTGTGGATGGCAGCATGCTTGCCGTAGACGTAGCAAAGGTATCAACATCTTCAATTAGAAAAAATAATACTTGTTAACACACAGCTGTTTCAAAAAAGGTCAAGTTAACCGTAATTCAAAAGGAAAAGAGTATTTGGTATGAAATAGCATTTTAATCATTTTCGTGAAGAACTGATGGAAAATAAACACCATTTGATTGATGGCAAACAGATGTACAATATACAGCTTTTTCAGAAAATTTTGAATAGTGAAGATAGTTACATTTTCCAGTAGTTACATAGACAGAAATGCATTGTTGGAATGCTGTTGAAAAGGTGTTTCGGTGGTTTTAGAAAGCAATCAAGTTTACATTTCTTTTTTAATGCAGCTAACATGGAGCTTAATAGCAAGAATGCATTGCAGTCAAATGAAATGCACCTCTGAATATAATAAGCTAATATAACTTGATCAATTTAAGGTTTTCACTGTTAAAATTAACAACTTAGAAAAACTGGAATGCATGTAGTACAGTAGACATTAAAGCCACTCACTTTGTGTACAGTATTTCTGTCTAGACTATTCAACTTCACATCAGCCTGTCCAAACTGCCTTAACATCTGAAAACAATCAAAAGTTGTCAGCTACATCAAATTATCACAGACTTGAAATTTAATTCAGTTGCCCATAATTTTGTAAGTAATGTTTAAAGTCCGACAATGAGGACTGGACGGGGTTTCAAGTCCGCGCAATTAGTTCCGGTCCGAGGCGTTAGCCGTTATACCTCATGAGTATGAGAAGAAATAATAAAGGATTCAGTACCTTGAGAGCCCACGAGGAGCATTCCTCATGTTGTCTGCGGTAAAAGTGTTCTTCAACTGGTGTAAACTTCAGTCTGACCAAGTACTCTGTCTGACATGGAAGGTGAATCTAAAATATTACAAGAAATTTTTCATTTTATATGGTAAATT